TGTATACCGGACTTGGTATTCAGCAGGTTCTGATCAGTTCTGGAGAACCGGTAATGGAAATTTTGATTAGTTAGGAGAACCGGTAAATACCATCTGTGGCTGGCCCCGCCCCATCTATTCTCTGCCTCCCGAGTCCCAGATGATCGGGAGGGAATGGGGATTTTGCAGTAACCTTCCCCTGGAGTGGGGAGGGAATGGAGATTTTACAGTATTCTTCCCCTGCCACGCCCACCAAGCCATGCCATGCCATGCCCACCAAGTCAGGCCCACAGAACTGGTAGTAAAAATGTTTGAATCCCACCACTGATGTGTATGTATACATGTGTGTGTGTGTTTGTGTGTGGGTGGGCGTGTATGTCTGCCCTAAAGAGAAGTAACAATGTTCAAAGAACCAATTGTAGATCACACTAGAATGATGACTAATGTAAAAAAGATATATCTACAATTCTCTGGTGGAAGGCAAGATACAACAATAAATGTTGAATCTAAGATGTCAGTTTGGGAAAAAGAGGAAGATGAAAGGGTAGATAGTATGTTAGATTTTTGGTGTTCTGTACTGAATGTTACATACCAAAACACTTGCTCAGATTAGTCTGTTTGTCAATGAAGACCTTAGCAGAAATAACATTTCCAAAAGGCATAAACATCTGCAGAATATCCTGGTCTCCAAACTCTTGTGGGAGATGATAAATGAAAAGGTTTGCTCCTTCTGGACCTTTTAAGAAAAGAGAGAACAGGCAGCCAGAATCAGCTCTTTCATTTTAGGCTGAAAACATTCACTAAGTATATAATTCAGCTCACTTTTTCCCTCTGTGGAGTCTTTCAAATATGTTAGGACTGGAAGGGAAACAAAGATGTTTTATGTTTTTATCCAAGATCTCAACCATCCTCCCCCATAAATTGGGTCCATTGGAGTTGGGTGACCCAATAAATTTAAATGAGAGAATGAACAAATAAGGAAAATTGAAAACGAAAAAGGATTGTGAAGCAATTCAAATATTTATTTTTTACATTCTCTATAAAATGATTGAAGTGTGAAAGAACTGGTATTTATTTAAATTTATTATAGTTGTCCAGCTCAAATAGATTTATAAACCAATTTATGAAACAGACCATCAGGGAAACCTATCTCAATACAATTTTCAGAGGTCTGTGAAAATGATAAAATAAAAACAACAAAGCATCAAAAACATGCTGATAGAGAAATGATTTAGAAAACAAGAATTCCTAGACATTTCATATGCCAAAATATGCATTGTAAGCTTTCTTCTGCTCTGTTTTTTTGCAGTTTGGAGAAAAATAATCCTCTTTGTATCTGTTACATATCCGTTAAATAATATGGAGAATAAAGTTTAGAATACTGCTTTTTATTTCAGCACAAAGCTGATTATTATTTTTTCTTTCACATTAACTTTTTATCTTCTTGGTTCTCCTAAATGAATAAAAATGAAGAGATGCTACATTTCTGGCAAGTCCATATCAACAAACTCTAGAACGCAACGTTTAATTGCAAACTTCTTTTATAATCTGATGTTATAAATTTGGTTATTCAATTTTATACCTAGCAAAGCGGCTTTACATTTCTTTACAATGTGGGATATAAAATAATTATAATTATTACTTGTAGTTAATTTATTCTGCAAAATTTCATTTTCTGATATTAGACTTTTTGGAAATCTTAAATATCTCTCTGGGATTGCAATTGGCATGATGGTCAAAACGTTATGATGGCAGCTTTGATTCTTTTGTCTGGCTATCTGTCCATTAAGCCATCCATCCATATTTATATAGCTGCCCATCTCAAGAGCTGGGATGTATTTTTACATCTTTGCGTTCTATATTTTGTACTGCTGACTTATTATTTATTTATTTATTTATTTATTTATTTATTTATTTATTTATTTATTTAGGTCTTAATTCCTGTCTATCTCTCTTCCTTTCTGTGGAGCTAAATTCTTTTCTTTTTCTTTTTTTGATGTTCAATCTGTCTGATCTTTCTTTAGTTTCTGCTTTCTACTTTGTTCAAGTCTTGACTTTTTCTTCCCCTTTTTCTAGTGGGGCTTCTGGATTCTTTGCCTTTCTTCCAGTCTTGGCTCCCATCTGAGGTAAACCTTTCCCTCACACAGTTCTGAGGGAGTATTAAAAAATGCCTTTCTCCCCCCCCCCCCTTTTTTTTGGGGGGGGGGGGAAGCATGGTTGTTTAGGAAGTGTTTTGTCGTTTTCCAGCCTGAACGCCATTTTCCTCAGCTGCTGCTTCCTTTCCCTCGTCCATTTCTTATCAGGGCTGTCTATCCTTTAATTTTTATTTTTTTCTTCAATTTCTGATTTTCGGCTCTGTTTATTTATCTTCATCTTCATGAACTGCCAGGTAGCCATTTTGTCTTCCTTCCTCCTCTCCTCCTTCACTGCCACCTGCTCAATGCTGCTGTTTGATTGGCTGCTGCTACTGGATTGGCAGCTGGGTCACCCTAGCAACAGGGGAGGGCCAAGAAGAAGCTCAGGTACTTTATTACCTGCTCAGGTAGTCTATCCTCAAGGAAGAGAAAGGAATTGGCAGAACTAGCAGGGTGAGTTTGCTTCATACATACATTTTTTTTAAATGGGTCCCAGATAGTGGGCAGTTCTTCAAATGCCCATTTTAATATTATTTTAATATTAAATAAAATTTATAATATTATTAACATCATTATTTCATATAATATAAATAATAATATAAATAATAATCATATAAATAATAATATAAATAATAATATATTTTGATAATTTTAAAAATATTAAAAACTATTAAACATTAAAATTATTTTAATATTAAAATTCCAACATATTCTGTGAGTGGCAGACTCTATTATAGAAATAAAAAAAACAAAAAAACATAGAAAACCGATGGTAGAAAAAAACCTAGTGATCCATCAAGACTGTTTGCTTGCATATATATGCATATATATATATATATATATATATATATATATATATATATATATATATATATATATATA